AACTTAGTGAGCACATCCAGGGCAGCATCTGTTTGTTGAAATAAATCAGTTGGTATGCTGTCAACTCCTGGAGCCTCATTTTTTGCCAGTTCCTTCATAGCAACTTTCTTATATGTTATTTCATGAAATTCCTCGGTGTCAGCTGATTCCTTCTGATACAGACTCTGTGTACTCCTTCCATCTTCTTTTGATATTTCCTGGATCACTCAACGTTCTACCCAAACTATCTTTACATATTGCCACCCGTGGCTTGAATTTGTTTTTCAGCTCCTTCAGCTTAAGAAACGCTGAGCGAGTTCGGCACTTTGATTTTCTGACTCCAGCTCTTTGCACATTTCATTACAGTATTTTGCTTTGTCGTCCCAAGCTGCCTTTTGAAATTTTCTGTTCAGCACTTTGATTTCTTGATTTCTTCTTTTAGCTTTGGCTTCTCGATGCTCTAATGCAATACTCATAGTCTCATCTGACATCCATTTTGGTCTTTTCTTCTTCTTCAGCCTTTGTAATGATCTTTTGCATTCTTCATTGATGATTTTCTTGATATCCTCCCAGAGCTCATTTGGTCTATTGCTCATTGGTGCTCAAGGCCTCAAACCTGTTCCTGAGATGGTTTTGAAATTTGAGTGGGACAGACTTAAGGTCAAATCTTGGTTCCCAAGGATGCCATTGCCAGAGAAATAGTTTTGGGATTCAGGGAGGGGAGAGTGGCTGAGCTTTCCTCATCTCCACTTCTCACCTCAGGTGAGAAAACAGGAAAAGGACCCCTGCAGAGGACGCCATTGCCAGAGAAGTGTATCATGAGTGGATTCAAAGTTGAATATGCAAGATAATATTTCAAAATGTATGCTACTTGAACCATGCAGTCTGACTGCCTCCTTTATCTGACATACTTTGAACATGTTGCAAGGAGGAGCCAGTCTTTGGAGAGGGACATCAGGCTTGGAAGGGTGGAGGGATGACACAAGAGAGGAAGACCCTTGATGAGATGGACTGACTCAATGACTGGAGTCATGGGGGTAGGTGTGTCAGAGATAATAAGGTTGGATCAAGATAGAGCAGGGTTCAGAGCTGTTGCACATAGGGTTGTTATGATTTGCAAGTAACTCGATGGCACATAACAACAAATAGCGATGTTATTTTGTTGCTGCTGAGTAGTAAATGCCAAGTTAAATTGTTTTTTCTTGTTTTAGGTGCCTTCCAGTCTATTATGACTCATAACAACTCTATGAACGACAAACACATCTGAATCTCGCTCTATCAAGCACGATTTGTGTCATACATAGGTCCATTTTACCAGTAGTATGTCTATTGTGGTAGTCACCGTGTTCATCCATCTCACTGAGGATCTTTCTCTCTTTCTCTGACTCTCCAACTTTCCCAGCATGGTGTCCTCTTTCAAGGAGGGCTCCCCCCTGACAACATGTTAATGCCCAAACCATGTTACATGAAGTTTCAACATTCTTGCCCTCAAAAGAACACCTGGTTACACTTCCTTCAAGACAGACTTGTTTGTTGTTTTGGCAACCAATAGGATATTCACTACTCTTCCCCAACACTACAACTCAAAGGCATCAATTCTTCTTCTGTAATCCTTATTCATTTTCCAACTTATAGTTACATAGGAAGCAACTGAAATTGCATGACTTGGATCACGTGTACTTTAGTCTTTAAAGACTTTAAAGACATCCTTGTTCTTTAAGCACTTTGATGAAGTCCTTGACAGCAGACTTTTCCAACATAGCACAACTTTTTGATTTCTTGTCTGCTTTTACTATGAGTACTGATTATGAGTATTATTATCAGTCCTCACTGGGTAGCCAACCATTAACACATTTGACACATTCGTGTCACAGTGATCAGCCTCACAGCAACCACAAGTGACCTCGGACGGCAACTTGTACACCAGGGCTATACGACCTAGAGGAATGTCTGAACAAAAACAATGAAAGACTGGCCTGAGGGCCACGAACTAAAAGTCACCCACCTTTGTCTTGGTCACATCGTTTTCTCTTCGCTGGGCTAGCTGATCTCTCTCTCTCTCTCTCTCTCTCTCTCTCTCTCTCTCTCGATGTTATTGTTGTTAAGTGCTGTCGAGTCGCAGGTGACTCATAGCGACCCTGTCTTGCCATACAGATTAAATAAGTGTTGAGTAAGGGTACAATCCTGATGCTCACATTTCCTCAGTTTAAAACTATGCAGTGTCCCTTTGTTCTTTTTGGACAGCTGCTGTTGTTCTTGGTTTTGCATAAGCACAATTAAGTGTCTTGGGATTTTTATCCTTTTCAATACTATGCATAATATCTTATGATCCACACAGTCAAATGCCTTTGCATAGTCAATAAAACACAAGTGAACATCCTTTTGTTTACTTACTAATCTCTATTTTCAGCCAAGATCCCTCTTGCCAGTGCCACTTCAGAATCCAGCTTGAAGTTTTGGCAGTTCCCAATTGAAGTACTGTTGCTGCCATTTTTTTAATAATCTTCAGCAAGATTTTGCATACATGAGATATTAATAATATTGTCAAGGGGACAAAATTGTACCTTAATGTAGATTAAAATAAAGACAAGAACAAATGTACCCCCCCAAACAGAGAAACTTAAAAAAGAACACAAATATGGCAGTCATAATTTCTTGAGGTTAGCTCTCATTGGGACATCTCATGTTGGATCCCATAATCTAAGCCCAGAAACACA